CGGTGCGGCAAGTCGTTAAACACCTAGAGGCTTCCCTTTTGGTTTTTTCACATGTAAAATGAGGATATGCAATCTCACCTTATAGAATTGATATGAAGATTTTTAAAAATAATATTTCTAAAGGACTTAGCATAGGGTCTGCGTGAAATATGTGCCCACTGAATAGGGATTAATACATTATGGCTTCTCCAAATCCCTTTCTTTATGGCTTGAAACCCATGACCTTTATTCCTCATTGGCTCAAATGTGTGGAACCTGAGCCTTGATAACCCCAGCAAATCTGTTCAAGGGTCATGAAGCTTCTGGAATTCTGGAATCTCCACATGAATTTCAGAAGTACCCCCCTGGAGAGCACAAAGATCAAACCTGGGGTTTGAACTGGAGTCAAAATGAATTGAGTGAAATTCAAATACAGCTAACAGAAGAGATGCTGACAATGAGTCCTTGGCATTTCTAAGCATAACTACTACATGGTAGGTTGTTACTAAGACACTGTAGGCAGCCCTGGTTCGCATCTACCTCTAGTCTTGTGTGGACTTCTACCCAGCTGCAGGATAAGCATTAAACACCCCATAAAAGCCTTCTGGCCCCCAATTCACTGCAGTGAGAGGCCTTACAGACCTCTGCTTTGCACCACAAGTCATTCTTCCATTCCCTCCTCCAGCGTCCAGGCCTGAGCTGCCATCTGCCCTCTCCTTTTCCTTCCTAGTGGCTAGAAACCCCTTGTTGAAGGAAGACAGCATCTCCTCTGTGTCTGTCTAGGCCCGATTGTTATCGATGCCCTTACTCTGCTCTGCTCCCTTCTCATGAGGCAACTGTCTTATTTGGAGGTTTTTTCTGCTTTGGTTTCTTTCTGTTTGTTTTATTATTTAAAGGGACAACACTCCTTCCTCTCCCCCAGATTGTAATAAACTAATAAAACACATAAATTCAAATCAAGTAGCTTTACGAGGCCATTGCTTCCTACCCATTAATAACCACCAGTTTTATGCTTTGGGATCCTTCTGATTTCCTAAAAAACAATTTCCTTTTTATTTTATGTAAAGTAAGCAATCAGTGTTAGTAAGTATAGAAACCTAGAGGCCCGCAGAAAAGGAATGAGCAGTGATAACTACTGGCCACAACGTACTTCTTAATTCCTCAGGAAGAACAGGCTGTTTATACGGTGCTGTCATTTTCCATTTTTTTCTTCTAAATGTGATGTGAATCTCTGGTCTTGCACTCCAATTTGGTTGTTATTTTCTATGGCACTGTGTTCCTTCTAGTTTATTACTGGTTTGAATCTTTTATGATGCAGCAGAGAAGATTTCTCTTTATGGCTAGAGTGATGTCGCCTTTCTTGTCATGTGGTACTTTTAAGTTTCCGGAATTTGGACAAGTCATAATTTTAGAATTTAGAATAAAGCAAATGTTTTAAATTTCTTTATATCCAATATATTTCCTTCTTTATGGAATGGAAGTATGTTTCTCAGTCTGGGGCTTGTATGCATACCATGGTAGAAGGGCGTAGGAGGATGCTATGAAGCGTCATTTCAGAGTATACTTCAAACTGCCAGGGATATAGAGATGTTTTTTCCCAGATTGTCAATGTTACCTGAAAATGTGGGTAGAAAATGTTACTTTTTACTCAAATAAACATGAATTTACAATGAAGTAGAAACCAAAATTCAAAAGATAGATTAAGATAGACTAATAGTTAACAAATTTGTTGCTTTTAAATTATAATATCCCCCACATCCCCAAGGTACATATTAGTCCTACTTGTCTTTAGTGGGTGAGCTGGAGGGAAAGTTAGGAAGCATTTAATAGGGTCTGTGTTTAGTGGAGTGAACAGGTTCTTTCCAGTAAGTTTTTAATTTAAGCCACAAAGTTGATTTCTGTTTTGTTTTGTTTTCATCAACAGTGCCTAAGGGCATCATTCAAATGAATGTTGAGAAAATGCTTAATTATCTCTCTCTTTTGTGTTCGTATTCGTTCCCAAAATCAAACAGCATTCGTTCAGCCTTCATATATACAACTTTGATTGAGGCATGTTATGTTTGTGATAAATATTAAATAGCATCATTTGTGAATTGTCTGTAAAGAAATGATTGAGGTAAAATAAATCATAATTTCCAATTACACTAGAAATTGTTCATAGAGGAGATGAAGAAAACAATGTTGACCTTGAAAGAGAATAATATTCAAAATCTGTCATAATGAGGGACAGCGCACTGAGATGGTAGGGAAAGTATAGATATTGAACAAGAAGACCGATGAGAATATGGTCCCATTCAGCATGGAATAAGAATGAGCTGGCCACCCACTTCTGAAAAAATTAGCCATGAAAACCCTGTAAATGGCAGCAGAGCATTGTCTGATACAGTACTAGAAGGAGTGAGGATGGTGCAAAAACACCAGGCAGGGTTCTGCTCTGCTGTCCACAGGGTCGCTAGGAGTCAGAATCAGCTCAATGGCACTAACAACAAATATAGTGTAGAAAGAAGGGAGAAAACTAACATCTATTGGGTACCTGCCATCCTAGGTATCTTCCTATATGTTGTTTTGTTTAATCCTCAAAACACCTTGGGGAAAGTGTGTTCTCTCCATGCAGGAAAATGAGGCACAAGAAGGGATGGCAGAACTGGACTTTGAGCTCAAGTCTGTCTGTTTCAGAAGTCCATGGTGGTGGCGGTGTTTGCACACACCAGAGAGAAGTTATTTGTGATTGTTGAACTGACATACACAGTTCTATAACAAAGCTCTTCTAAGCTCCATTGCCATCCTGTTCTGATCCTGTACAGCTCTGGTGTTTATAATTGTCTGTCCTTGTCTGATCATTCCCGAAGCAGCTTATGAACCCTGCAAAGTCAGGGACCGTACTGCCATTACCTGTCTTCCCTGTGGAGTCTTAAACTGTTTTAGCAGATGTTTGGCAAATATTACTTGCATGACTGAATTTTTACACCCAAGATTCTGGGGTAAAAAACTGTGTGGGCAAAGGCAAAGGCTCTTCTGAATTCATAACTTAAGCTTTAGCTTTTAGCCCCCAAGTACTGAGAATTAAGGGTGTGCCCATGGTCTCTTTCAGATAGGTCTAAAAATTTTTTTAAATAACAAGATAAAACCAAGACCAGGAACATGGTCTTAATATTAGAATTTCCAGCTGGTTTATGCTCATAAATGCCAGTGTCTCCACTTACAGGAACTGTGAACTATCATCTAGTGAGTCAATGGTAAGATAAGGAGGCAAAATTGTGAGTAGTAAGTAGCAGAAGCACTATGTGTATCTGGAGTTTCAGCTCTAAGTTCCACCTCAACCTCCCCTTAACCTCCCCTCTAACTTCTCCACTCTTCTGCCTATTCCCAGCTTCATTTTTCCTCATTGCAGCTTCACAGTCCTACAAGAAAGAGAAGACATACTCAGCTGAGATGTTTAAGAGAATTTAACAAAGAGACTATTGAAAGAGCTGTGGGTAAAGTTAGGGAAACATCAAGGAATTGTGAAGGACAAGCAACAGCAGGAAGCGTTACCACCCGCAGGCCTGAAGGGGCAAAGAGAGGAAATGTGGTTAGGGGACCCTGGGAGAGGGAGGGAAGGGAGCAGAAAGGTCTGGAAGCTCACAAGGAAGCTGGGCAGCGGAACCACAGGAGCAGCCGCAGGGTGAGAGGAAGAAATGCCCACATCTCTCGTCCCTTCATCTGCTTGTGTGGATCAACATGAGAGCATGTTAATCAATAAGAGAATCAAACGCACAGTGAATCTAAAATTATTTTTATCTAGAAAGCAAGATTTTGCTCTCACAATTTTTTAACATGAAGAGGTTCTACCAGTTTAATTAGCTTTTTATTAGCCAATTCATTTGCATTGCCTTCCTGGATCCCAAGCTTCAGACACTGCAAGGATATTTTCCGAGTCATCGAACACATCTGACAATGAAACTGGCTTAAAGTGCATGACCTTGCAAAGGACAGTACCACCTGAGGAGCCTGACGGGATGCTCGATGTTTCTGTGTTAACAGATTGTCTTCCCTGGGTTCCTCGCCACAGAGACCTGAAACATTACAAATCAAACTAAGTACCTCTCTTCCTTTGGGTGAAATATACACTCTGAAAGGGCACAGCACACCAAATCTATTTTACTGCTCTCTCCACAAAACTCATCCACTAGATACTTATCAAAACTCTCAAGTATGAAGAATAATTAATTACTGATTAAGAAAACAGATGGAGAGACCCCTGGAAAGTTTGTCCCAAGCCTTAGAGTGCATACTTTCTCCATACAGTGTTAGCATTCTGACAAGTTTTCCAGTAATCACTTTTCTGTTTTGAGTATTAGAGAAATTTCTCATTGCAGGGGTCCTTCTGAACTACAAAAAACATAGATAAAATTTTCATTGAATATATTTCACGTGAGTTTCGACTTTTAGGCCGTTTCAGTAACCATAAAAGTTTTTCGTTACCATTAACCATATCATGAAGTGGGTTCAGTTATTCACAAACCTGCTAGGATAAGTGAGGGCTTTGAATGCTATCTTTGCGAAAACTTTTTCCTCATAATTGATGGTTACTGGCTAGGATAAAGTGTAGTTTACCTGCTCAAAAAGGTTTTAAGAAAGTGTGTAATTTGCTTTTGTATGCTGAAAGTGAGCATAAAGGAAAAGAAAGCAGTTTATAGGCTCTCTATTAAAACCAGTGTTTTTTTGCAAAAGCTTTTTCTGCTTTTGTTCCAAAAGTTGAAGGATGAAGTTTGAGATCCCTGGAAAATTTACCTAGCTCTCTGGCATCCGTAATTTTTGATGAAACATATGAGGAAAATATGAAGCCCTGAATACAATATTCATAAGTCATCAAGGAACAAGGACCAAGTTTCTCCATTTTTACCTACTTACCCAGAGCTCAACATTGAGGATTTGAGGGCTTCTGCTCTGTTTGTTGGCTTATTGGTTGGTTTAATGTATCCTTTTGCTTTTCTGAATCTGTTTGCTAGTACAGCTCTCCTTCCTTTCTCTCCCTCTAGGTCACGGGTTTGGTTCATCAAAGATGTCGCGCGCACAGACCTTTCCCAGCTACACCTCAGAGCAGAACGAAGAGACACAGCAGTCCTTATCTCGGTCGAGCAGCTATGGATTCAGCTACAGCTCCAGCCTCATTCAATGACACACAGAGAGCCACTGCTGACCAGAGAGACTGTCTGTCCCGGACCTGCTTGTAGGGTCATTGCACCCTCTGCCTCCTGGAAGACCACTTGCAGTAAAAAATTGAAATGGGTTGGCTCGAGCCCCGATCCCAGTGGAAGGTTAAAAACTGGAGTTCTGCTCCCTTGATTCTGTGGCTAAGTCCTTTATTTATTGAATTTCTGGGGGGAATCTGTGTTTTACAAAAATAGAATCCAAATCGTATGAACAGTTATTTAAATAAAATTCTTTGGGTCTGACAGTGGCAGAAGCCTGGGCACTGAAAGAAGTTGCCTATACTGGGTTGAAGCTGGGTGGTGGGTGGTACCCTGCCCTCACGGCTCAGCTCTCCCATCTGATGACAGGAGGTATGTCCTTGGACATAATGCTGACCCACCACAAGCTACGTGGCTTGGAAGGTTTTGACAGGGACAAAGCCAGTAAACTCTATAAATGACATCATAACTCTCCATATAAATAAGCCCAGTGACAATTAAGGGAACACAACATTTAGAACACACTATTAAGCAGGGCCTTGTAGCTCTACTGTGTGTGTGTATGTGTGTGTGTGTGTATGTGTGTGTGTCTGTAGACAAATATAGACATGGATATTGCCATATCCATCTATATCCAACAAGTATATATCAAATGTGTGCTGAGGGTGACAGGATATGCTCACTTAAATTGTTGAAAACTGTCATTTGGTGCATTACAATTAAGATTGTTATGTTGAATAGCTATTTTTAAAATAGTGCTGTAAAAAAAGGCTTCTTATTAGTAACAGTATTTATGTAGTCCAGTCTGCTCCTATGACAAGTGCAAGTGAAAATGTGAAAGGAGGGAATGCTTTGGAAGCAAAGGAACTGGTCTAGTGTCATACACGTCATGTCACCGTGCTGTCTTTCTGATTAGTATCCCTTGTTGTCCCAACGTTTCTCCCTTTGGCCATCCCTCTGAGCTACGCGGGGAAGATTGGGTGTTATCACCGATCAGCTTCCATTTAACCTAGAGAAAAAGTGAACTCTAAATGAGAACCTGTTTAAGAAAGAGATAAAAATACATTTAAAAACAACTCAGCTATTTTGCAGTCAGGAGAAGAACAATAGGCAAAGGATTGTAGATATCAATTATTTAAGATTTCGTGGATGCTGTTCTCAGAAAGTCATCAGGGGCTTGTTTACTGTGTAACCAGAATTTGCTGGGCTTTACCTTCCTTTTACTGGACATGAGTTGGCAGGGATTATAAAAGAAAATGGATCAAATATAATTTTTTTCATCTCTGACATTAATGACAAACCTACAAGGTTTAAAGGGAAGTGGTGATTTCCATGTGAACTGAGGAAGTTTGGCTAATTTCGCTCAACAAAGATATTTCTGTCCTTAATTTTGGAGTTCACTTGAGTAAAAATAAAGATTATTCTGCCTGAGTTATCTGATGTCACATGCCTAAGATGGATAGCCATCAACTACTCCATGGTGATTTCAAGACCAGTGAGCCAAGTCATGTAAGATGAAAGCCTGACTTATTTTAATAGCAAAATTTTTTATACTATCAAAGATAGTCTGTTGAAAAGGTACCAGTTTTGCTGATCTGTGATAAGTATTTTTTTCATCCCTATCCATAGCTTGAATGCAGATTGACAATTCATTTCAGAGAACAACTACTGAATAAAAATGGTTCTAGATCCCTCCTTGATAAATTTGCACTTATAGCAACTACCTAGACTCTCTGAATCTCAGATAAGTGTGAAAACCCCATCAAGATGCTAATCATAAGAGTTAATGTGGCTGTGAAAAATAATTATCCTAGGCTTTCAGGGATAAAAAGAAAATTACTCAAACTCTCTGCACTGTGAATTTTGCTGACACTGCGGAAGAGCAGATGACTGGTTCCTGACAATGATACAGCCCTCCCTGAAATCCCAGTTTTCAGGGTTAAACACCTCTGAATCACTTTAGTGCATGGCATTTGCTTTTGAAATGCCGTTAGTAAAACACACCAGAGCAACTCCCAGCTGAGACCATTTGAGCACAGCTCCTAGTGATGCCGCATTCAGAGCAAGCCTCTCCTGTCTCACTCAGTCGAGCTGTTGCTTAGAGACCACAAGTTTCTACAAGGGACTTATGGGGAAAAGTCCTCAAGGGTCCTGGTTCATTTCTCAGCTTTTTTAACGTGCCAGAAGCACAGACAGCGAGTCCAGGGGGGATTCTGCTAATTAGATGAGTCTGCTCTTGTGTCTATTTGGTGGGAGACACAATCCCTGCATGAAGTTGCTTCAAGAACACCATTTGCTTGTGATCATTACCAGTGGGCATAACTGAGGGGATACCAGAAATCAGGCATAACCTTGGGCCAGTTCATTCTGAAAATGATGTCATAAAAGGAGTGTGTGAGAGAGTAATTTCCTTCCCAAGTCTTTGGCCCAAGCTCATCACAATGAGAATGATGCTATAAAATATCTAATGGTACATTTTGAAGATTTATTCCAGCATACTCCTCCAACTATAGTTAAAATTGTAGTTAACTCAAATTGCTAAATGAACAAATAGGAGAATTTATATTAACCTAATAAACTTGACATAGGCAGCACGCATTGTAATAAAAATGACAAGCAGACATATCTTCTACAAAAACCAAAGACAAAAAGTTACTGTACCAGTCTCCTGGAACGTCATAAAATTACTTCCAGGAGAGCAATTAGAGTGGTCATGGACATGTATTCAACTCACTGGAGCTCGTAGGTTTTTGACTGAAGATGCCTCTACACTTTGCAAGTCATTTTTCTCCCTTCAGAAATTTTTATACTTTAATATACAGGTGACTTTTTCATTGTGAGGGAGGGATTGCTGTGAACCAAAGACATCTTTTGGCTCCTTCTGAAAGTGACTCAGTTGGGGTTCCATCCCGATTTTTAGACAGGTGAATGAAGATGGTCACAGTTTCCATATTGGTTTGGAAGAGAGCAATGATGAAGGAGCTCAACACAAGTAATAGAGGCTCTTCTGAGGACAGAGAAGCTTGGAGGATGTACACATTTCACAGATCCATTATATGAGGGCATTTATATCTTATGTCCCCAGTCTTTTCTTCTGATGATATTAACTGCTATATACATGACCAACACATAATATTATATTTAAAATGCAGAAAAGTACAAAGTAACTTTGACCAATAGTTTACTATTCTGGTGGAGGAAAAAAGAAAACACGTCTTTCGCTTATTAATTGAATGAATAATAGACACTCACAACTAATTTATTTATGCAGGTTGCAAATATTTATGAGTCAATAGGTTCTGACCACTGCCACAATTTGAACTTAAAGAAATAAGAAGTATATATTTACTTATGTATTAAGAAAGATGCTGTTTGATAAAGCATGTGATATAAAGTGAAACATATTTATTAAAAGTAAACCTCACATTTTCACCAAATGGTAACTAGAGTACCAGTCCTAGTATCTTGTACAATTTTTCTCTGTCTTCATTGGGCAATTTTATGTTCGAGAAACCTTTGCCACCTGTAATATGGCCAACCACTTACACTTTCTGTCCAATATAGAAACAGTAGACTAACAATTTTACACTATTAGTAGTTTCTACAAATCCAATTTATTGCATGTGGTATCTTTAACATAAATATTTTTAAAAAATCATAAAAATTGATGTCCACCCCTCATTCTTTGGCCCGTATCTCAGAGAACTTTGTAAAAAAGCATGAGTACCTTACTGCCTAGATTATTGGAGCCACTTACTAAAATCGACCAATAATGCTACAGTGAAAACTAGCTAAACAAATAATATTCTTATAAAAAATTATAGTCCAGTTTTGATTATTATACTACAGCACAATAAACGGACTATATATATTCAATGAGGCCAAGCTTTAAGCCTTTAACACTTCATGTTTTATAATAAATATTATACTACAAACTGCTCAAAGTGAAAATTACACATTTTTCTCCAATTTCATTAGCAATGTCTATCAATATCTTGCAATTTCAAATTACTTTATCAATCATTATTGATACTTTGTAATCCCTGAACTTGACCTCAAAATAGATAAAAATTTGCTACTAGCTATTCATTAAAATTATAATAATAGGTCGTATGCCACCCAAATGAATTTCTAGCCTGTGAAATTTATGGAGTGCAATTTCCCATGGAGTTTCACTTAGTGCTAGGTATGCAATTGAAAGAAGACATCAGTTGTATCATGTTTTGAAGTTACCACAGAAAGACAACACATAACAACACATAACCAACAAGTATGCATTCCTGGATTTAGTGAAAATTACTGAATACAAAACAATCTGTAACAAAATCCCCTCTCCAGTAACATGAGGATCATTTTTGTATGGTCAACCTCATGTGAGTTTCAACATGAAGATATGTTATCAGTGAAACTGGCTGGAGGCTAAATATGTCAGAAGAGGTCAACAGCCCCATATGTGCATTCTCTAGAAATGTATTTGAAAGAGTAATCCACCTTTTTCTCCCTGAAACTACCACAAATCTCTACTTTCTTATTCTAGAATGTGAATCTTTGTTGTATCATTTCTACAGTTGTGACAAGTAGATAAGGCATTAGATAGTTTATAGACTCTTGTGGAAGTGTTATGAGATGTTGGGCACATTTTTTAGATAGGAAGAATGCTTGCTAGCTCTGGATGCAATCTTAAAGGTCATGTAGGATAAAGGTCCCACTTTATGTTCCACCCAGGAGAAAACCAAAACCCATGGATGCTGTAGTTTATTCAAAGGCAAAGAAATGGTTAGGAATAGTTTGGCCTAGTTCCAGGCTTCTGGTTCAGGGATGTTTCCTTGGCTCATCCGGTCTCCCAGTGAGGTGTAGTGGGAGTTGAGAATGCCACATGGCCTGTGAGTAAATAGGCTCTTGAGCATTTCAGTGTTTCCCATGTTTTTCAGAGTCTCCTACTCTTCCTGGACTCGTCACCAACGTATAAATAGAGAGGCTTCATGGGTCAATTCTTTAGACTTGTTGTAGGTCATGAATGATTGGGATAAGTTTTATTACTCTTACATTGTCATCCAGTTCTTTGTTGGAAATTCAGACATATTTATCCTAAAGTGATAGTCAAACTAAAAATAAATAAATAAATAGGTGTACGTGTTTTGTATTCCATAATTCACCATATTGTAATTGAGATTATTATTTGGGGGATTCTGTAGCACTTTGTTTAATCACTTATGGCGTTTGTCACAACTTCGTTAGATCATGAACAACATCAGGACTACATTTTTTCATGTGAACTTCACAAAGCTTCCATTTTCAATTGAAATATGGGGAATGAGTTTTTTTGCATTAAAATATCTTACACATCAAGTCAATTATTTAAATTAACTGAAGTTTATATAAATAAGAAATAATTTAAAATTACAAAATAACAGAAAACTACATTTTACTTGTGATTTTCATACACTTTTCCCTAGTTTGAGATTTTAATATCTTGTAAACAGTTAAAAGAGAGGAAAAATGCAATTGTGATAGAAACATCAACTTCCTTCTAATAATTCTGTTTAATAAGTTTTTCTTTTACCTCATCTTCTATGCCTGCTACCCTAGTCCATATTGCATATTCTGGTTTTAAGAAGAATGAATGGATTTAAATTTTCTAAGAGTTATTTTGGGCTAGTTTTAGTAGTTAATACACTTAACTTCCTCAACCTGTTCCCTGGTTTTAGGATGATTTTAGACTTAAATAGAGCATAAAATCAACCCTTTTTGTAGACACAGAATTGTGCATCGAATGGAGCAGGGTATCTACCCTAAAATGGTAATTGTGTTTATGTTGGAATCTTATTGCTATCTTAATTCACTCAAGAGACCCACAGCCTCATAAGAGGTGCTTACTTTCAGAAATCCAAACTTTAAAAGCCCAAATTCAGGAAAAGAAAAAGATTGAGATGATTTAAATTTTTTTTAAAAGTCACTACAGGATTTCACTCAAAAACATCATGAGAGGGTTTTATGGTGTTCCAGTCTCATTAGCTATTTGACAGATGGGCTGAAAGTCAAGGAAAATAAAGAATAAAATGATAGGAGTATCTTGATACTAAATATGAATCAAAAATTAACATGATGTAGGTCAATATGAAATAATTTGATTACTCACATTCATATTTGCATATCTATTGCATAATTCAAGGAACAATGCTTATTCTTATCAAAAGTATATATATATATATATATCAATGGGTGGAGTAGGGGGAATGGAGCTCCAAATTTTTGTGAAGACCTGAAATAGAGAATAGAGATTCTTTCCAGTGTTGACAGTTTCTATTATTTTAGCTATAGCAGGCGATATATAAATCACAGCAACCAATCAGTCTACTCTATTCAAAGAATGAGCATGAACACCAGCATCATCTTTACTACAGAGGACAAGAGACCTCCCAGGACCTGCAGAGGCTCCCTCGTACCCTCTCCACACAAACCCTAACACACGCGTGCACACACACACACACACACATTTTTGACTTTTGACCTAGTTTATATGTTATAGTTATCATTTTCTTAGGGCCACACAGAATTATCCCATCTTGTAAAGTGCTTATCCCAATGAATCTTCAAAATATATTAAATTATGTGTTATATGTTTGCTTTCTGTAAATTCTTTTAAATTAACTTATATATACTTTGTGAAATCTTATACTGTACATTATAAAGGGATGTCATTTGTTGATTAAATATAATGTTTATGATCACTTTGATAAAAATAACTTTGGACGCTAGGCCCTTGTTCAGAAATAAAATACCCATTACAAATTTGCTTCTATTAGAAAATAAATGAGTTGACATATTTTATTTTTAATCACAATCTATTCCAGATAAATAATATTTTGGGGACATCTGTACTTAAATACTAGTTAAGCCACCTTTTGGAATGGAATGCAAAGGGATAACTGTCCCTGGAACCTAAATGTGAATTTCTGACCGAACAGAAAATATTATAATAATGAGGCAATAATAAAATTAGGAAATTAAATTATTTGTAAATCTGTCTGTGTGATTTTCCCCTTGGTAAAAATACACGAAATACCTCAAGAATGATGTTCTTCTGAATTTGTAGTTTCTACATCTCAGTACTAAACTATTGTTGTTAATGTTTTACTTGTAATCTAAGAAATTTACAAGTGATATTGCTGCAAGGAGGTTAATTTCTAGTTGTGCAATATTAAAATTTCCTCTATCACTTAAAGAAACGCAAAGCAGCTCAAAAATGCCACTTTACACCACAACTTTGCATGATTGAGATTTTGAACATCTAAAATGATGGTTTTTGCCCACGAGTTATTTAATATTGTTAGCACTGTAATATTATATGATTTCCTTACATTTTTGTTATCCTGTGATGACCTGTAACTATGTAATTAAACAGAATTCTGACAATCCTATTCTACTAACCTTTAAAATGTCTCTTATTCCTTACTCATTGGCTTGCTATTTTCAAAATAAAGTAAAAGAAGGCCCTTTATTAAATGTAATTTTACTGACAATTTATTATGCATTTCCAGTGTTTTCCTAACCCTGTGTTATAGCAGAATACAATTTTTATTGGATTGACTCTGGTATGGTGGAATCATAGTATATTAATGTTGAAAATGACACTGGAGTTCAACACTCTTTTTTCTAGTGAAGTGACATCCAGGGTTTTTAAGTGGCTTTCACAGTGTCACACAGCTAGAAAACAGCTTTTCCTCCAACACCATACTCACCCTCTAATAACCAAAGAAAATTACTGAAAATGAACATTTGATAGGCAAATATTTAACATCGAAAGTGAAACACGTGCCATCATGTCTGCTCTAGCTATCAATGACTTCCTTTATTATTTCCCATCCCATCATATAGAGGCCTTTGTCACCTGAATTTAGATCTGTCTGGAAATAAGCTTACAGAATCTGTTTCTGACAATTTTAAAATATTAGCTGGGCATTTCTGGTTGGTTTATCGGGTTAATTTGGAGCCTTTTAGAGCCATGCCTTTAAAGAGACTGTGAATCTTCCATGATATCAGAGAACTCCTAGTGGGTCAGGGAGCCTGGATTCAGTGGTCAACAGAGCTAAAATGTCCTACGGGCAGGGCTGGCCAAAACCAGGAATTTGAACTAAGCAATGAAAAATGCATGAGAGTTTTCAGTTCTATGCAGCCAGTAGAAGTTTAAAAAATGCTCAGGAGTGGCAATAATGAAGAAAAACCCATTCTTTCTAAATGCTGAATGAAATACAGCTTATTCTGGATAAGAATTCTTTGTACCACTTTCATAACAAATGGTAACATAAACGATAGATTTTTCTTTCCCATTTTGTCACTATTAAAATCATGGGGACTACATTTCCTGGAGAAAGTGTCCTTAGGAAGAGTGTAAAGTTTGTATAAGTTTAGAGCTGACATCAAAGAAGATATTTAATATGTTCGTGTCACAGGGCACAGCCCAATAGCAATTAATCTGTTTTTATAATGTACAGAAACAAAACCAATTAACTCCCCAAAATGGCAAAACTGCTATTCTAAATTCCAAGTTAGTCAAGAAATATATTAGACAAATTTACGTAATTTTGATATCTATGTGGAGAACTATTAAAATAAATGTTTGAGCAAGAACTGGATAGAATATCTAAACTTTCATGAAAATATGAATTATCCTAATATCTGGGTGTTTTAAGAAATCAGGCTGCTGATTTATATGATCTCAAAGACCAGCCAATCACTAAACACTTATAGAGTGCTTACTACCTACAAAACATGAGACAGGGCATGCAATAGCTCCTGGCTCCTGGTTGTTGCCTCTTTTAATTCCTTTTGATACACGTCAGTGTGGGGAGGGAGCTCTGACAGCAAGCAGGTGTGTGGCTTTCCATAGGAGCAGACATGAGAGGCCTAGATTTAAGGGAGGAAGAGAAGGCCAGGGATGCCATCCTCCTCTGCTTCCTGAGTCCCTTTCTCAAAGCTGCGTCTGAATTTCCGTCCCTGCCACTCCGTCTTCATTCTCATTCTCTCGCTTTCTGAATGGTTAGACCCTGCTTTTTTCAGTCACAGGAAACTATTACACAGCATAGTCTAATATAACTCCAAAATTGTCTCTTGCTATTTGAATTGTATAATTTTTTAAAAACTTCTTATTCTAAAAGCCCCTATTCCTCTGTTGACACAAACTTGCACATAAGACAAATATGCACTCACCCTCACCTTCTGTGTGTGTGAACTAGAGAGGTCTGTTCTACCTTATGCTCTTCTGAATATTTGCAAATTTTACCTATAAAATAGCCTAAAGGAAAAAATACTATTTCAAAATTCAATTTAAAAACCGTTAATTGAATCTTCTAAGAGCTGGGAATTCAAAAGTGAGTAAGATTTCCTCTCTCCTTTAAGGAGCTCAACATTTAGGAAAGAAGGGTGCATTTCAAGTCACAAAACGAAGCAGGTGTATTCGGTCTAGTGCTATTCAGCCAATGTCCCTTGATTTAGCAAACCCCTTTCTTGTTCCAATAGCTATTTTAAAATATGTTTTAGGTAGTCTTCTGTTTTTGGAGTTTATAGTTTTTAACAATTATATTTCAGAAAGGTAAGTGTACAACTAGAGCTTGATATTCAAAAAGTCAATATTAAAGCCACTATTTAGGAACAACCCACTTCCCTCACTCTGACTACAGTCACCTCACTCTCAGCAGTATAAGATGCAGGGAAATACTGCACGGAATTTATTGCTAATATTCTACTCAGTTCCCCTCCTTTAGCTCTCCTTCCGCACCGTATCTGAGCCTCTTTCTCAGTAATGAGAGGGTATCGCATTCTAAATTCTGAATTGCATGGACCACTGAGAGCGCTGACAGAGAAATGTAACTGAAACGAATCATTGTAAATTTAGAATCTGTAAATAGGACGACAAGGCATTAGATGGGCAAGAATGCCCACTGCTACCATGAACATTGTGCACAACTTAGACTGACTTGGGGTGACATCGGATATATCAGGTAAAATCAACATTGCTTATAGTGCAAAATGTTTACTATATTCTTGAACAAAATGTAATTCCATCCTTTATGTGACAAGTGTCCTTCTCAGCTCTTCAATAGAGATGCAAAATGTATAGGTATCTAAGAGACACTATACCCCCAAAGAGGTGTCATATCATGGTGTTAGATATTTTAAACAATGACATTTATATGCTATATTTAACTGCATGTTTCAGTTGGGTTTATGAGTGTTGTTTGGAGCATTATTTTTAATATACAGAACATTATCATCTCTCAAATAGCTCAGGTCATTGCTGATGACTCTTGAATAAAAGAGATCACATTTGTCTTTTGTTCCTATCTAGACACTATCTTCTCCCTGAAGCTTAAATGGCATGATTCTTACAATAATAACTGGTGGTTATTGTTAATGCTTTTTCCTGACCTGGAAGAGAGGGCAACAGGTCTTGGGCAGCAGTGTGTTGTTTGTTTGTTTCTAGTCTCAATTAATAGAAATGTTCAGCTTCAACACTACTTCCACTAACGTGTAAAGAAAAAGAGGGTAGAGCTTGAGAAGAAGTTGTTAAATGATCTATTTATAAAAGCTTTGCAGTATTTTGATTTATGGCCATAACATAGTGAAGAAACTGTGGGCAGCTCTGACTTGGGTCTCTCTTTCACACATTCATAAAAGCATTCCACTAACAAGCATTGTGTAATGGGCCACAGGATGTGTAGACTTGCTTTCTCAAGGCGCCTCTTATTTTTGTTTATCCTTCTTTCCATCATGTGTTTTCTTCTGTAGAAGCCCAATATTTATTGCACACACAGTTTTCTTGATCGTGCTGTTACTTCCTTGGGCTCCTTCACCTATGGATTCTTCTAATTCTCATTTACCTTTTGTGCAAGTAAACATTAAAATAAATTAATATTGAATATGTGTGACCAGAGAAACACTTTCCTGTAACTCATATTTCATTGCATTTTAGCAGAATCCCCCCCCAAAAATCATTAAATCTGGTGCCTCAGACTGAGTTCTCTGATAAGAGAGTGTTACTGACACTTCCTCTTCCCTAGTTCTTGCTGACTGAGTAGACTTGAGCCATCACTGTCTTCTTGTGGCTTGAGATGGAATGTCTCTTTACTATCTTTGCTTCTTTTTGGAGTAAAAATTTTCTGAGGCCTGACATTGATCTGAGCATAGTTGGGGAAACTGATCTTCAGATTGTATTCTGTATATTTGTGCCCAATTTTCATATACCGTAAATATTTTGTCAGGTGGATCACTGGTTCCTGAAAATGGGCCATGGAGCAGAGAAACTCAGACAGATCAGAGTCCTGTGTCAGGCCACCATAGTAAAGCATCACAAGGACAAGACAAAGAGACAGGTCAGCAACCAAGACAACAAAAACATATGTATTAAAAATACATGGTGGGGCCAGTGCCAGTGGCCTAATGTTAAGTTCTGCGCACTCCACTTGAGCAGCCTGGGTTCAGTTCCCAGGTGTAGACATACACCTCTTCTCTGTCAATGGCCATGCTGTAGCAGTGGCTCTCCTACAACAAGAGGAAGATTGACTATGGATGTTAACTCAGGGCAAATCTTCCTCACAAAAAAAAAAAATTGACCAGTTTAAACTAGTTTTGCTTCTTTAAAATAGGGTGTTTAATCAAACCTTGCTCAATTACAGAAACAGCAATGTGCATGTGCCAGGTAGGAACCCATAGACCCAGGATGATTCCAGAACCAAGAATCTTCAGAAATGTTGTCACCTGAGTTCTTTACAAAGCCATAAGCCCTTCAATAAGGAAAATCTGGCTTCTAGCAGCACAAGTGACTTGATTACCACATATGGACTGATTCGAGACTAGCCAATCAGCTTACATGGGCCCAGCTACAGCTTAATAGCCCCTAACTCCTTAAATTTTGCCCCAAACCTTGGATAGGGGAGACAGATTTGAGAGCCTTGCACATTCTGTCTCCTTGCCAGTCAACCTCACAATAAAACTCTTTCTCTTCTCAAAAGCCAATACCATAATATTGGCTTCTATGTACATTGGGCGGCAAGCTCTCACTCAGTAACAGAACTGCAAGGTGACATAGACAAATCCACAGTGACAGTTGGAGACTTCGACATGCCTCTATCAGTGTGTGACAGATCAAGAAGGGAGAAAATCAGAAAGGGTATGGATGGCCTGAACAGCATCACCAGTCAATTTGATCTAGTGGACATTTGTAATATATCACATCCAAGAGAATAAGAGAATGCACATTCTTCTCAAGCTCACAAGAAATATTCTCCAAGACAGTCCGTATTCTGGGTCATAAAACACAACTCAACAAATCTAAAAGAATAGAAATAATACAACGGAAATAAATTAGAAATCTATAAGAGAAATATAGTAGAAAGCTTCAAAAATATAGAAAGATTTAAAAACACACTTTTAAATAACCATGAGTCAAAGGAGAAGTCTTAAGAGAAATTTTAAAATATTTTTAAAAATTTTTTTTAAAGATTGGCATCTGAGCTAACATCTC